AGCAGTTTTGCTTTTTATCCATATGCTTTCTAAGACAGGTGATGGAATAAGAAATGTTTAAGTGACAGAATGTGTATCTAGTGTATAAAGTGTATAAGTCGCCATAACTTTACTTGATCTTGCTAACTTTTGTTCTGCTTTCCATTCTTTGTCCATTGTGGACATTAAGTGGATAATGCCACTGGATGGAGCTGCTTATAAAGGACGTGCCAGGTATGACTGACTTGACACAGTTGGACTCCACTGTTTCTTGGGATGAATTTTTATTCTATTTAGCCAGTTCTATTACTAATTTGACATAGTTAGACTACTACATAGCTATGCATCTAGTATAGGATACTTTTTCCATTGCTAATTACTTCTTGACATTTATCACCGTACCAATAGTATGACTTTGATTAGGAAACCATAAAAATGCACAGTAGTCCAAAGATGCTTGCAAGGATTTCTTGGCTGGAGAAAGAAATGCACTGCCATGTAGTATTTGTTGTATGTCTTGATATGTGCCTTTCAAAGTTTTGATCTGTCATTTGGAGAAAAAAAAAATCACTCTTCTTTCTTGTGTAGGTGACCTTTACGAAGAGGAAGTTTGGATTAATGAAGAAGGCATACGAGCTGAGTGTGCTCTGTGACTGTGAAATAGCACTCATCATTTTTAACAGCTCTAACAAACTCTTTCAGTACGCCAGCACTGACATGGACAAAGTTCTCCTCAAGTACACAGAATACAACGAACCCCACGAGAGTCGAACCAACTCGGATATTGTTGAGGTAACAGTTTTGGAAAGATGATCCGTTTTCTCCTCTTCTTACTATTAGTGTAGATTAAATATAGAGCTGTACGTATTTAAAGTATGCTAACTAAGTGTATTTAAAGGAGCATTTTAAACCATTTTAACTAAATATGTACCACAAATATTTAATAATTAAATATTTCTTAGTTATACCCTGAAATTGCACTGCGTGGTGAAAAGAACCATAGCTTCTGGACTATAAAATAATATGAATATTTATTAGTAGACATTTGTTTGCGTCTGCTTCCTTGTTGTAGTTATGTTTTAAATGTGAACTTGTAACTTCCCACTTTGTTATCTAAGAAGTAGTAGAATTTATGGCTTAACCTTCTAATTATAGGCTTTCCACACTGTAGCTGAATTCATAGAGAAGTCAGCTAGTCTTACATTGACATGAATGGGCAAATTTCTGTGAGGCTGCAGTCACAACTGCATTATTTGCAAAGGGGTACATAAAAATAAGAGTGGAATTTGTTTTTGTCTGTATCTCTTACTATCTAATAGTATTTTATTGAAGTTGTTAAGCCTGTTATGGTGCGGCTTGTTCATAAAATATTTAATTGTTTTAGAACTATTGTTATTTTTAACTTTTGAATATCTCTACCCCTTATTTTCTCCTTTTTTAATATCACTGAAACGATCAGATCTGAGGTATCTAATTTCCATGTTTATTCAATATATTAAAAATAGAAACATTCCCAGTATTTCGTAACCAACGATTTTGATAATACTTTCAAAAAAAATATTTTCTAAGAGCCATTATTTCAGTTTATTTCCCTGCAAACTTTCTGTAGCATCAGTCCTTGAAGGAAAAAAAAAAAAAAAAAGGATTACGTGTTAAAAATAGATAAGGGAGAAGCTGGCCTAGAAAACCAGTGACATGAAAAAAGTCTCATGAATCCAGAGTTTCTGGAAACTGTGTGTCAACAAATAAATGTTAATTTTAAATAAAGAAATTTGGATCTCATTTACTGACAAATGTATTATATACATTACACTGCTTCCTGGAACACTAAAGTATAAAAGGGTGTTCTCTTGTAACTCATGCTAGCAGTGTTTTCTCTTTGTCACCTATTGAGAGGGTATTCCACATGTAGTCATGTACTTTGGCAGTAGCCCCCAAAGTAACAGTCTCTTACTTTAAGCACTAGATGCTTTCAGATTAGAGGCATTGGCAGTAAACTTCTTGGGCTCAGTCCATGCATATGACCCCTTCAAAGCTGTCAGCACAAGAAGCTTAAGCTGTTGAGAGAGGAGGAGTGATTATTCTAGACAATTCTGCACAAGACCAATACTCACCATTACACCTGTTGATCATATTTGGTCTGTGTTTAACTTGAAGGCCCTATGTTCCAGCCAGGCTTCACAAATGCTTTATCTTTTGCAAAGAGTTAAACAGATAATTTAGCTCTGCAGTCGACTCTATAAAACAATAATATTATTTGGTAGGCTATCCTGTTCATGATCCATCTCCCAACAGAATTCACAGTAACAGAACTGGGAAGTGAAGAAGGATCCTCTGTCATCTTTTAAGAAGATTTTAAAACGTTCAGGAGATAGTGTTACGTTGGTGAAAATCAGCAGGGGAAAGAAATTGCCTTACTAGACATATTTGGTGAAATTTGCAATTCCCTGTACTGATAGAAATGTTATGAAATAGATTGGGGTGGGGGAAAAGCAAATACATTTTTCACTAAAAAATTATCGATGTAGCTGCAGGAAAAGGGAGGGAAAGTATAATAAGTCTTGAATAATTTATTCTTTAAATTGGGTTTGCTGTGAAGAATGCCTGAGTTGAAGGTGGAAGAGGGATCAAATACATTAGTAAGCAAATGAAGCAAGGTATCAGTTGGTCCGGTTAAAAATATATTTCTTCAAAGGCACACTTAAGTTACCACTAATATCTTGAGGATGGAGTCCTCTTCCAAAATCCTATCTATATGGGCAGCATACAAGCCTTGTAATAGTGATAAGGAATAGGGCTGTGCGAAGCTTGGGTCCCTGATTCGGTTCGGCCCAATTCAGTGGCCAAATCTCCTAATAGAATCGGAGAACCCTTTAATCTCTCCTAATTGAATTGGAACTCTCCGAATCGATTTGTCAATTCAGACAGACACAGCTTAAATATTTTTTCTACATACTTCTAGGTAGCAGGTGGGTCATGAGTGCTGGGATGCTGGGGTGCATGGAGTGGAGTATCCCACAGAAGTGGGGGGTGGCTCCCCAGCACACTCAATAGCAGACCCGGAAGTGGACCAGAAGCACTTGTGGTCCACTTCCAGGTTTGCTGGAGAGCATGCTGGGGAACCCCCCCCCCATGTTCCCCTGGCTCAGCATCTGGTGCCTCCTGGGTCTGGGGGGGCACCTGGGGTCCCCCTGCGTCTGATCGCTGAGCTGGGGGTTGTGGTGGGGGCTGCCCTGTGCACTCCCTGGTGGATCAGGAAATACTTCCAGTCCGCTTCCAGGTTCGTTGCCAAGCACATGCCCCCCCCCCCCCCCCCCCGCCGCACGCTCCCCCCCCCCCGGCCGCACTCCTGTGGGATGCTCCATCTACTCCAGCATTGCAGCTTTCACGAGCCGTGCTGGTACCTCGAGGTATGTAGAAAAAAAAATTAAAGCTGTGTTTGTGGCCGAATCGCTGATTCTCTGAATCAGCACTGAATCTTTGGATTCGGATGAATCGAATCGGGACAACGATCCAAATCACTGAATCCGAATCCAAATCAGAGTCTGCTTCGCATACCCCTAATAAGGAACTGACCCCAAAGACTGCACAAGGAATTGCATCTTAAGTTCCTTTGCTTCCAACAATAAGAAAAGGCTCTCCTGCTGCGTCTTTGCTGTGGATTCCTACTTCACACCTTTTGTACAGATTTATTGCATGTACTTCGTCAGAATGCTATATTAGTAAGCCTTCTAAGAAATTTGTTTTCTACGTAACATACAGTTCAGTCTATGGAGAAGCAGCCTTCGGTTTATTCCAAAAGGATGTCTTTTGGCTTTTTCCTGCACGTTGTCTTGGGCACTGTCCACAAAGTCCAAGCAAACTTAGTTGAGGGACTGTCTCGAAACAGTAAACCCTTCAAGAATGAAATTGTTCCCCTCCTAGAGCTGCATGCATTCATGTGTAAAGGTAATGGTTGTGTACAACTTCCTTCTGCCGTTTCCATATGCCTAGCAATTGCTTCTTCCATTCTGGCCACTGGTGAATTGCTAAATTCATTCATACGTTTAAGGGAGGTTGACACTTTCCATTGTTACATTCCATAAAAAGAAATAGTTACTTGAATTATAGTGTGTTGTTAATATGAAAAGTCTCTCAAAGCTGTACTTTCATAGAATGTCACGAGTATTGCTGACTCCATTTGTGTCTTTCTCTGTTCACAAGGGGGGATTCAAGTGCTATTGATTTGTTTAAACTTCCTAAGCTTGGGCTCTGAGGCATCGTAAAATCATCTCCCAAATTATTTTGCAGTTTTACTGAGTGTTGCTGCTTGGCCAATTAACACCTATTTTAGATGAGGGTAATTGGGACAGTTATGCTTGCCATCATATATTATAATTCAATTAAAGTGTTTCCTATTTGATTTGGATAAGATATTTGTGGGGTGCAGTAAAAATATGCAGGGTACACAGAAATAAATATCTATTTCAGGGTTCACCTTTTGTATTCCAACATCTTTATCTAGGTCAGTGGATGCCAACCTTTGGGCAAGCATGCCAGAAATTGGCCCCCCAACCTCTCCGAATGTCACTCCAGTCCCCTTCTCTTACTTGATCTAGTGCTCTCCTTTCTCCTTCCTATCTTATCTGCCACTGTGATTCCTGTTTCCTCCTTGATCTACTGCGTGCCACACACAAAGGCTTCCTGCGCCACTTGTGGCACCCATGCCACAGGTTGGCGATCTTGCTCTAGGTATTTATACAGGCCTCGTATCCCTGAACAAGTTCTCATTGCTTTAAATGGAGTTTTGGGTGTGTCCTAAATTTACAATACTGCATTTTAAATAAAATTATGGGAATCTGTGTTTTAACCTAAAGATCTAAAATGTTTAATTTAGTGGAAGTTCATGTAAACTGAAGCATCTTATTTTTATGATTTTTAGGTACTTAGTATTCCAGCAAAGGCTGCTATATCACTCGCGTCCTGATTCCTCTCATTTCAAATAAGGTCATCATTCATCAAAGGCTGGTTAACATACTAGTACAGGGATGTCCAACTCATTTAGCCCCATGGGCTCGATCCTGATTTGTGAGACCACCCCTGAAGGTAGGGTTATCATTTGCCAGAGTAGCTGCTGGAGCTACCGTATTGGCACAGTTCTGGACCCCAAGGTGTAAACATTGTTCCTGCTTGCCCCCTTTTTTCCCCTGCCTCCCGTTTTAGTCACTGGTGGCTACCGAAGCTCCCTAACTCAGTGGTAGGCAATGGGGTGGAAGGTGGAAGGGTTTGGCCTGGGTTCCAGAGTCATACCAACAAGCCTTGCAGGAGAGCCCTGTACTAGTAGATTGAAGTGGAGGTCATGAGGAAGAAGGATTGTTTGTACAACTATAACCTAGGAACTTGACTCGGCAACACTCGCCACGTTGTGTTAGAATCTGTAAAAACGCACAGCAAAGACGTTCCCTGCTCTGAAGAACTTAGTCTTTCACCCACGCCTCTCATACACATATGTTCTTCCTCCTGAGCCCAAGCCACCATTGATGTTGGGTGGAAATTTTCTGGGGATGGTTTCCATCATTTAATCTTGTGCTGTATACAGAATTAAAAAAATTCCTTTTTCAGGGTTTTTTTATGAGCATTGCCTTGAATTGGGTCTCCCCTTGTATGTGTACTATGTAAATAAGGCCACACATCTAGTCATTATAAAAACAAAGATCTGAGCTTTCGAGACCCCTCAAGTATGTCAATGAAAGAATAGTCTTCCTATTATATTTGATCTGATCAGAAAGGCAACCAGATATGGGCCATAGTGA